AGAGAGAGAGAGAGAGAGATAGAGAGAGAGAGAGAGAGAGAGAGTGAGAAAAATATTCAACGCGATTGGGAACGGCCCCTGATGTAGGCAGAGCTTAGATATCGGGAGCGCGTAGGCGCGGGTTTTATATATTGTCCAGGTGTTGTCGCCTGGTGCAGGTAGCGTATCACGGCCAAACGACACAGGTGGAATGGAATGCAGTGTTTCTGAGAGTTTTCTCCTTTTCTTTTCAATAGATCGACCGACGCTTAGATTATAGAATTCGAGTGCAATTGTGTGCCCGTGATACTGGTGACAAAAATGCGGATAAACGTCCATGGAGATATTAGAAAGCGATAAGTTGCTAAAAATGCTTTTATAATACATTTTAAAGGTATAAGAACGTATAAGAGCGAGAGAAGATAAAGAGATGCGAGTGTAAAATGTGTTAACGATAAATTGTTTTGTAATCAAAAAAGAAAAAAAAAAAAAAGAAAAAAATATAATAAAATTTAATGAGAAATGCGCAAATGTTGTAACATTAAAGAGTGTCCGTCAATAATTAATTGGGCTTATATGAAACATAAATTGCCATTTTTTAGGCGCAATTTGTTCTCAAATTACATAATTAAATGCACTTTGTTAAGCTAGATTTAAAAAAAAAAAAAAAAAAAAAAATATATATATATATATATATATATATATATATATAATATTATGGTAATAATAAAACTGTGTGGGAGTTGCCAGGAAAATAAATTAATACTAAAGTCGTAGTAATATGACTTGGAATTCCAGAGCTGCTCAACACCTTCCGTCCTATTCACAATGATTGATTGATTAAGATATTTTAGCGGCATGCCTTTTCGAAATAACAGTACATTCGTTGGAAAACTTGAAAACTCGCTTATCATAAAGTAAAATTATACTTATATATCATTTACAATCGGCGACCAACGCTTATTTATATAGAATTACTTTTATAATCAAGCTTTAAAGACTGATGGATGAAACGCGCTTTTTATTATCTAGAACTATATTAATTGATCATCGAACAAATATTTAACCGAACAATAATTTGATAATGATCATATAGTCACTTTCAAGTAAAAGGAATTTCCGGGAAGTAAAGATTGCACCAATAATGATAATAGTGACGATATTAAAGTTTCCTCGTAATAATATATTAGACATTCCTTTTCTGTATAAAGTGATTAGATTAAATGAAATGCCATAATTCTATCTCGAAGATATGCAAGCAAATTGAGAATTCAATTAAATTTTTAAATTACAATAGTTCAGCATATAATTTTGCGAGCATCTAGTAGGAAATTGTAATACGTGTGAATATTAGAATAAGTTTTTGAAATTATCATTATTGTCGAGTCAGAAATTTCAGAACAATATTTACATCGAATTTATTTGCGCAAGAATGAAGTTCGATAGAGTCTTTGCAGTCCTTGACGTCAACCTATTGTAAATTATTGTTTTTAAAATAACAACGAAACTCTCAGGATCCAACAACTGCATTATAAATAACGATAGGCTTTATGTAATCGAATAAGCTGGAACGAACTTTCATGAAAATTCGCTAAACTTATAAACAGCTGCAGAATTATATATATAGCGGATAAACTTTCGACAATACACGAATAACGAATGCATACAAACTAACAGGGCGTACACTGAAATATATATATAAAAACGAAGGAAATGGTGTTAGTGAGCGATTAATAATGGAATATTCGTATGTAGATCATCATTATTCGTCTAGATGTGGAAGGTCGACGGACTTGTAACCTCTCACTCCATCTCCACTATCTCAATCGTATTGAACGCGCGCCCGAGGCTTTAATTGGTCAAATAAATAGAGCGACGATGACGATTGCATGCGTGCGCACTGAACTGTCAATGACACGTGCCCTACTCGGAGCTGATTCCGAGAGCATGTAGATTTAGTTTTCCTTTATGCATTTCAGCACGTTATGAAATGCAACTTCGTAATGGAAGTCTTGCGATTAATGCGCTGATGTCGGAAGATGACGTTTTTGATGAGAAAATACCCTCGGGCCAACTTTTACTCGTATAAATTGTAGTTTAGATGCTAAAGAGTCATGTACATCGAGGCCAAATTAATTTAAATGAACATAATTTTTATATCCGAATTATTTGTGGAATGTAAAACAAATTACGCACATATATATATATATATATATATATATATATATATATATATATACATATATATTTAACATACTAGCCACACATATATAGTATGGTCATAATATAAAAAAAAAAAATGCGTCAATGTGGTAAACTCGCTCTGCAAAGTCGATCGCAGAAGATAATAGCTTTTCGAAAAAAATTAAATGAATTTGGGCTATAAAGTAAGATTAAAACAATAGCAGAACATTTATTTACAATACGTGGCGCTCCATATATTATGCTGACCTCATCACTATAAAGGACAATTTTATCTTCACGTATGTGCTATCTCGATATGAGATGAATACGGAAAAATAGCGGAAGAAATAGAATTTTTTCTCACAAGAAAGGTTATAATTGACGTGTAATCAGGTAGGAAAGAATATTTAAATTAAAATTTCGATCTCAGCAGAATTGGAATTTTGTGAAATTATAGTTTTGATAGAAGAGACATATTTTGTATTCCTAGTAAGAATGTAATTTTTATCAACGAATTTTACATTTTACTTACGCACTTGCACTTAATAAACTAAGCCAACGTAATTCGAAAAATCACTTTATAATAATATTAGTATTAAAAAAATTCGACCTACATAAGAGTTGAGTGAATAAGTATATTTATCTGCTTTTCAAATGTATTTTATAATTTTGTTTGTCATCGCGATACACCCGATAAAATATGGTATAAAATATTTACCAGGACATTGCTGTATACGTAAATAACACAGGTGAAAGATAAATTTTTACGAAATGTAAAATTGTACAATCAAATTTTATTTTCTGAATAAAGTCATGCGATCGTTTAATAATAAATTAATTATCTGTGTAACAATCGCCGTAGACAAATAATTACAAAACTTTATTACACCTAACAAGAAAAAATTCACTGTACTGAAATCAGATATGTGATGTTGTAAAAATGGCTCAAATATATATGTACAAATAATTAATTTGCAAAGAGTTACACCTACGTATTTTAAGTAATTAATTGATAAATAACTTATACTACTTAGTGGCCATGAGCGGAAAAAATATTTGTTCTTATCACTTTTCTATATATAAAATACTTAAATGTAATGAAACTACTTGGGAAATACAGAAGTAAATTTATTTATCGACTGTATAAGGTTACATTAAAAATTCTAAATAAACGTTGAATTGAATTAATTTAAATATTCAGATTTTGTTTAAGAAATTATTCCACACAAGTTATAGTTAAGAATGAATTTCTGTTAAAGTGTTATTTGTAATGTGGTGGTAGTAGAACGTGCAATAGCAATTCATACAGTTTCTCACGGGAATAAATTGCAAAAATGAAATTAACACCAAACTAATTTATAATAGCAATGATCTTAACGTAAGTCAGATAAGCTAATGCTGCGAAATTATACAGTTTCAATCGGCTCACAAATAATTAAAATCTCTTGTTAATCGATAAATTATCTTTTAAATAATCTCGTTGTCATTAGTATGGTAAAAAGAAAAACAAAAGCTAAACGAATGAGGAATAAAAAAGAAAAGAAAAGAAGAGAAAAGAAAAGAAAAGAAGAGAAGAGAAAAGAGGAGAAATGAAAAGAAGAGAAATGATAAATAGGGAAATAAAAGAAAGAGGAGACTGAAGGAAAAATGAATTCAGTGTGAAAACACCACCATTGTACGCTACAATCAGCCATTGCAAATGAAATGAAGCACACGCGGCATCACTTAAGCCTTGGCTTGAATAAATTAGCGGCAACGGCAGCGCAACTCGTATTATT